GGACACCAGGGACGCCGCCTGTCCGGAATCTACAAAGCCCTTTGCGGAGGCGGCCTGGCTTGGGCCACGAGAACAGAACAAAACCGAGAAGCGAGGAGAACCGGGGCGGGGGGTGGACGGGCGCGGCGCGCACGGGGGCCACCCAGGCCGCGGAGCCCCGTCACACCGAACCGCCACGGCTGCCGCCCAGCAAGCGCCTGCCTCGCACCACCTGCCTGCCGCGACGTTCTGGACACCGGGGCCAGGACAGACAGCGCCCTGCCCGCGCCGGGGGCAGTGGGGACCTAATACCACCTCCTCCGGGCAGAAAGGAAGGCGAGGAGACCCGGAGAACTCGCACTGCCCGGGGGCTCTGCCTGGGCACTTCACGGAGGCCGATGACGCCATCGGCCCATTTCACAGGAAGGGCCAGGCACAGAGAGGTGAAGTAATCTGCCTGAGATCACACAGCAAGTCCCTGGCACTGCCCTGCAGCGTCCCGGGCTTCCTCGGACTCAAAGCCCCAGTGTCATCTATATGCTCTTCTCCTTCCAGGGCTCGGGGGACTTGCAAGGAGGTGGCGGGTCTGGCACTCAAACCCCAGGCAGAACGGAGGCCCCTCGCCAAGAACAAACGGGGAGGTGGCCGCATCTCCAGACCCCACCTTCCACCCTGGGTTGTGGTTACAGGTGGATGCGCCGGTGGCCGGGACCTCACGAGTCTCGAATCTCGTTTGAGTGTTCCTGGCTGTGTGGCCTGGGGAGAGTCACCACACCTCTCTGAGCCTCACTTTCCTCCTCTGTGAATGGGGTGATGGTGACCTCCCATGGGGCAGGTGGGAGATCAGATGAGGTGACGAGGGCCGTCTTCACGGCTAGAGCCACGCGTGGACCCGGGCATCCTGGCTCAGCCGCCTCCTCCCTACCGGCCACGGGGGGCGGGTCTCTGCCAGTGCCCCCCCCGCTCCTCTCCCGGGCGCCGACGGGGGCGTTTCCCATTGTCTCCCCCGCCCGTCCCGCCCCGCAGGGCCCCGTGCGTCTTTCTCACGCTGCGCCGGGAGCCTGGCGCAGGGCCAGGCGGGCCTGGGCGTGTGCCCCTCGGGGCACGGCTGCGTGTGGTGCCCGGTATCGGGTCTCAGGCCGGGCTCCTGCCGAGCGGCTGCCCCCGAAGGCCGTGAGCTCCTCCAGCCCCGGCACGGCCTCACCCGCTTCCCGAGCTCCCGCCCTTCCAGAAAGTTCCCAGACCCTGGTGGCGGCTCCCCGGGGCCCATGGGAGACCCTGTGTTTTTCCCAGACGGCGTGTCCAGTCCCAGCCGAACGTCACTAATCCGATGACAGAGGAAACAGCTTTCCAAGTCTGGGCGGAGCCGGTGGGAAAGAACACAGAATGTGCCGGAACAGGCCACTCCATCCATCACTGTCCCTGTCCGCCTGTGGTTCCCAGCCCTCCCTGCTCAGCTGGGAACTGGCCGCGGCCCCGTGCTCCCAGCCCGGGTTCTAGAACCCTCCGTGGGAGGCGGATCCATGAGCATCAGGGTGGGAACCCGTCTTCATGCTCTGCCACCTCTGGAAGGAACGACGCTTTAGTCCAGTTCTGCTGTGACCTCAGTGGCCCTCACAAAAGCCATGGGTAGCGGGAAGGAGGGCAGGTAGCACAGGTGATGATAGGTGACGCAGGTGACCTGCCTTGGCTGCTCCTGCCTCAGGGCCTTTGCACAGGTTACGAGGCGATGAAGCCCCAGCGTGTGCCGGGCCTGACATGAGCATGTGTGTGGATCACCCTCCTTCCATCCCCCCATGAGTCTGAGGTCAGCAGATGGGGAAACTGAGGCAGGGGTGCCGGGCCTCGAACCCAGGCAGCCTGGCTCCGGAGTCCACTCACTCTGTGGTCCTGGGACGGGCTACCGCGGGCCCAGTGGTCCCAGGACAGACGCAGCCTTACCGGCCCCTCCCTGGAGCTCCGGGCCCCTCCCACCTGCCCTGCCGGCCCCTCTCGTCCCCGACGGCTGAACTGGCTGCGTGGCGCCAGGCAGACCCGGCATTGCGTCTTTCCTCATGGGAGTGTCTGAGGACCAAGGACCGTGTTTGGACGCTGCACTTTGTAAGTGAACCTGAGAATCGTCATGGAAATCGGGAGCTGGGACAGAACTGTCCACTTCTTGGGGCAGAATGCCTCCTCCGCCCCGGCCTGCCGGCCACTGGCTGCCCTCCATCCCTCGCTCCCACCTGGCCCCAGGACCTTTGCACCTCCTGCAAAGCTTCCCCGAGATCTTCGCAAGGCCGAGTCCTTCTCATTACTCGGGCTGTGGCTCAAATGTCCCTCAGAGGAGCCTTCTCTGAGCACCCAACTCAAAACCATCCCCACCCCCAGCAAGTCCCACCACGTCGCCCGTTTACCATCTTTGGGGCGGCCGTCGGCACCTGGAGGCACCGTTTACGTTGGCCCTTGTGTGCATCGCCTGCTTCCCTGAGGACAGAGCCCAGATGGTGCCTGACACCCAGCAGGTGCCCAGGGGAGTTTGCTGCCCACCCATGAGAGAGACCCGCCACCCGCGTCCCAGGCAGCAATGGAAAGCCTGGCTCGAACCGGCACCTGTCCCTCCGCTGTGCGAGTCGGGGAGAAGGACACCCTCGCGGGTGCTGGAGGACCAGGGAGCTACTCGAGTCTGTCCTGTGACGAGGGCTCCGTAAATGCCGGCTCCTCCCAGCCATGGGTGGACTCGCCGCAGCTGACTCAATTCTCCACCCTGCCGGAGCCCACGCCCCTGGCAATGTGAGCGCAGCTCTGCCCGTGGAGGGACGGAGCCTGTTTCCCTGCCCCTCGGACCTGGGCGGCCCAGGACTTGCTCCGGCCAACAGGACACGGCGTTAGTGGCGTCGGCCGCTCTGAGCCTGGCCGCGAGAGGTCACCAGCTCCACCTGCCCCCTCCTGGGGCCCCCAAGTGGACACGTGCAGGCTGTGGGATGGGACGCACCAGCTGTCCTGGCTGAGGCCCCAGACGCGGCCGCAGCTGCTGACCGGGCCCACGGCCGGCCACAGAACCAAGAGCAAGCCCAGCCGAGCCCACGAGAACCACGGAGCTGAGCCTGCCAACCCGCCAAGCAGGAGAAGCGCGGGCCAGAGCACGCTGCTGGTTTTAAGCCACTCAGCTCCGGCTGGTTTGTTGCACAGCGAAGGATAACCGGTACACGTTGGTGTGTAGAGTCTCAACGTGTCGGCGCTGGAAGGCTCCCGAGAGACCGGCAGTCAGACCCCACAAATGGTGACGTACAGGCCAGGGCAGGACAGGGGACTCGAGCCGTCCCCCCTCCGGCTGCACCCGCCACCTGCTCGCCGCTCCCCGTCCCCTCGGGGGTGCCGGCAGACGGGGCAGTTCCGCCTTGGGGCGCGTCCTCTAACCAGACAAGCAGGCGCACTCGGACGCCGTCCCCAGGGGGTTCACCACGGCGGCGCGCACGAGACCAACACCAGGGATAAGCGATCCGGCCCCTCAGAGAGGCCGGTCACACACATCACGCATTCCGCGCGACACTCCGAACCTTAAAACCTGCACCTCGGGTGCGTTCACTCCGGACAGCTGTCCAGCGCACCCGCTAACCCGGACAGTCCCACCCCGCGCCGTGGCAGACCGACTTCCAGGAACAGAGCAGCAGAAGCGCAAACAAACGTGCGCCCAGACTGATGCACGAGCACGTTCATCAGCCGCCTCGTCACGGGAGGCCCAGCTGGAAACTACCGAAATGCCCATCGAGAGCTGAGAGATACACGAGCCGCGTCCTTCCTTCTGGGGACGACAGGACATAAGGACAAACAGCGCCAAGAGCAACCCAACAGACCTCACGCGTGCGGCGGGGGAGCCAGGCCCTGCGGGGCACTGGGCCGAGAGGTCCCATCTGCAGGAAGTTCGAAACCAGGCGACGCTGCTCTGTGACACTAGAGGTCAGGACAGAGGACAGGGAGTGACCACAGGGCCACGGGGGCCCGGGGGACAGGTCAGGAGACGTCTGTTGATCCGGCCGACACTCACACACGTGTGCACGCTGTTCTCTGGGTTGTACTTCAAGTGCGTGTTCACTCGCGAAAGTGATGTCACGGAACGCCGTTCACTGCCACGGAAAAGTTACCCAGGAGCAAAATCAGACGTGACAAAGCGTATAATTCCATCTCGGAAACGCGCTCGGGAACATGGCTGGGAAGGAAGCGTGGCGCGTCCCTGGGCGGCAGACGGTCAGGCCTGCCGCGTTCTCGCCTGTGGTTTTAGAGGAGGGTCAGGTGAGCCCAGACTCACCGGCTTGCGTTTGGCCGCGGAGCCCAGAGCAGCCGTCCACGGCTTCCTGGGGCCGAGCAGGGCGGGGAAGGGCTGGGGGAGGGCACAGAGCTCCAAGCAGCTGGAATTAAAGTCTTCCGCGCTCCCCAAAGGGCCGCAAATGGGACCCAGATGTCCGGGCCTGCTCGCCGCGGCTGGCACGCAAAGGAAGCACATTCCTCGCCCAGCTGCTGCGGCTGCACCGCCAACAACAACCGCTCCCGCCCCACCAGAGCCGTGGTGGGGGCAGCCGCCATCTGGGCCGCCCGCTGCCTCGGCTGGGGGGGTGCTGGGCGGGTGCTGGGCGGGGCGGGGGCAGGGAGGGAAGGCGTCTTCCGTCCTCACCCGCCCTGCACGCTGGGAGCCTGGGCAGAGTTCCACGGGGGCCACCGTGGGGAGGGGCCCACCTGCAGCCCGGGGTGGGGGCAGCAGAGTAGGAGCGGCTGCAGGGATGAACATGGTGGCGTGGCCGCCTGGGCGGGGTCTCGCCTCCATCAGAACCTCACCCCTGCCCCCTCCTGTCCGATGACCCAACGCAAGCCCCCTCCCTTCTCTGAGCCTCAGTTTCCTCATCTGTACGCGGAGCGGATGCTATTCCTGGAGCTTGAGCGCAGGGCCCTTGGGCGGCCGGCGAAGGCTCCTGCAGTGAGGGCACCCGGTGGGATCGGGCGGAAGAGCTCAGTGGGGCAGGGCAGCCGCGTGCACCGTGCACGGGCATCGTGTGTGCGTGTATGTATATACGTGTGTGTATGTGCACGTGTGTGTACGTGTGTACTCGGGGCGTGGGCGTTTGCATGTGCGTTTTCTCTAGTGAGAGGTGTGTGACCTCAAGAAAGTCTGCAACCCCCCACTGCTGAGCAGACGGTCTCGTGTGCACCGAGCATCTGCGGAAGGGAACAAGACACTGCCTCTGGGGAGGACGGAGCGGGCGGGGCAGGGAGGAGGCTTCTCCTGCGTCCCTTCCGTCCAGGCCGCCCCTCCTGTACGCAGACCTGCGGTCCCCAACCCTGGGCCGCAGACCAGTGCCGGTCCACGGCCTGTTAGGAACCAGGCAGCACAGCAGGAGGTGACGGCAGGTAGCCAGCCAAGCTCCACCTGTATCTGCAGCCACTCCCCATCGCTCGTGTCACCGCCTGAGCTCCGCCTCCTGTCAGAGCAGCGATTCTCACAGAAGCACGAACCCTGCTGCAAACTGCGCACAGAGGGATCTAGGTTGCAGCTCCTTATGAGAACCTAATGCCTGGTGATCTGACATCCAGCGGGGGCGGTGACGCTAGCGCTGGGGAGCGGCTGCAAACACAGATTATCATCAGCACAGAGGTCTGACTGCACAGAGACCATGATACATCAGTTGCTTGCAGACTCACATCAAAACCCTACCAGTAAGCGGCAGGTGGCAATTAAGCTGCATTTGGCGGCAGCTTTAACTCAGAATCCGACACTGATTTTAGTCCACGCGTGGCCTGCCCGTTATTTATTTACCACCTCCGTCCACCCCGCTTTCCCGCACCACGCACTTGTCTCGGTCACGGTTTTGGCAAACCCACAAGCTCACCCTAGCAAAAATGAGTAAAACGCAACCGGCACTGGAGAGCTTCTTTGCAAAGACCCAGTGACGAGACAGCAGCAGACTCTAAGACTGACAACAAAACAAAAGCTGCATTTAAAAGAAAATACCAAGAATCCTGCTTAAATGACGGGTTCACTGCAACAGGCGATTCACATTCTCCAAGCCGCTTTGCATCACACATGGCGACCGGGTACCCAACGAAGCTGTGAAACCTTCAAAACTGCTTCGCCACATGGAGACCAAGCACCCCGCATTAAAACACAAGCCTCTGGAGTTTCTCAAAAGAAAAACACACGAACACGAAGAACAGAAGCAACGACTGAAGGCCACGATTTCAGGAACCGTGTCTGCACTGACAGCAGCATTCTTAGCGACTAACCACGTTGCTAGAGCTGAGAAGCCCTTCACTATTGTGAAGAGTCGATCCTGCCTGCCGCTAAGGACACTTGCCGTGAACCGCTAGAAGACACTGCAGCTCAAAAGGTGGCGCGTGTTCCTCTTTTGGCAGCACCGTAACTAGACGAACTGATGCAACGGCAGGGGATACCGAGGCACGACTGTTACAGAGGATGGATGAGTCGCCGCGGTTCACAATCCAGGTTGACGCGTCTACCGATGCTGACAAGGCAACAATGCTTGTTTTGTGCGATACAGTTTTCAGGAGGACGTGCGTGAGGATACGTACGTGCACTTTTGTTATCAACCAACATCACAGCCGCAGAACCGTTCCAAGTCTTTGCATGATTACATATCAGGAAAACTGAATGGGTCATTTTGTGTCTTTGATGCACGGACAGAGCGGCTGCCATGACCGGACGGCTTTCTGGTTTCACTACTTGGGTCAAGGAGGTCGCTTCCGAATGTGAGTCTGCGCACTGTGTCATCCGTAGAGAAACGCTGGCCAGCCGAAAAGTGTCACCTGAACTAAACAATGTTTTGTAGGGTGTGATTCAAATTACCAACCACATTAAAGTACACGCACCTAACTCACGTCTGTTCGTGCCGCTCTGTGAGGAGAGGGGCGCAGGGCACACGCGTCTTCTCTTACACACGGAAGTGAGACGGCTTTCTAAAGGAAGACCACCGGCGAGAGTTTTTGAGTTACGAGAGCCGCCCCGGAGATTTCTTTTAGAAAAACAGTCACCACTGGCAGCACATGTCAGGGACACAGAATGGGCGGCAAAACACGCTCACTTGTGTGACATATTCAACCTGCTCAACAAACTCACTTCAGGGGAGAATGACAAGTGTGTTCAAGTCGGGAGATGAAGCGGCTGCCTTCAAAGGCAAACTGGGATTAAGGGGGCGACCAGTGAACGTCAGGATTTTTGATGTTTCAAACATCAGCAGAGATTTGGAAAGAGACCCACCAGGTCCTCCTTCCTCCTGGCTGGTGCACGATCACCTGTCTCAGCTTCCAAAAGGATTTGAGCGTTACCTCCCTACCACAAAAGACCCCCGAACTGGGGAAAGAACGGATCCGAGACCCATTTGTGGATAAGCCAGGTGAATCGACCTCGTCGGTGCTAGAAGAGGATCAACTGTTTGAGGTCGCAAATGATGGTGGCCTTAAAAGTAAGTTGGAGACAACTTCGAGTCTCATACGTTCTGGATTCGAGTCAGGGCGGAATGTCCCGAGACTGCCGCTAAAGCACTGAAAAGCCTCCTCCATTTCCAACGTCCCATCTCTGTGAAGCTGGGTTTTCTGCGGTGGCAGCAGCCAAAACAGGATTACGGAGGAGACTGGACATAAGCCACACATTTTGGTGTCGCTGTCTCCGTCACCCCGAGAAGGGACCGTCTAGTTGGAGGAAAACAAGCTCAGGGCTCCTACCAATTCTGCATTATGGCAAGTTGTGTAATTATTTCGTTATATGTTACAATGTGATAATAATAGAAACAAAGTGCACAATAAACGTGACGACCTTGAATCATCCCGAAACCATCCCCACCCCACTCCCCAACGCCCTCCGTGGAAAGATTGTCTTCTCTGAAACCCATCCCTGGTGCCGAAAAGGTTGGGGACCGATGACTCAAACCACGTCCTCGATTTATTTTAAAAAGCGCCTGTGGCTCATAGCACTGGGCTCGCCTCACTCCGGCCCCCGGGGAGGGAGGAGACCGGCCTGTGCTGGGCGCGGAAGGCAGAGAGGAACGGGAGACACCGACAAACCGTCACGTCAGGTAACAAGCAGACACATCGTTACAGATGAGATCTGAGCAATTTGTCTGTTATCTGCTGGCCCAAGGCTTCGGATGCAAATTAGCCTGGCCGGAAAGTCCCAGAAAGCCCCAGACAGAGCCGAGAGGCAGAAGCTTCCAGAGGTGCTGCCGCACGCATCTGGACTCCGGCGCTGTTGGACGCACCTGGAAGGCAGGCGCTCGCGGGAGGGCACGGTGTGGCCGCAGGAGACAGCTAGAGGGCTGGGGACAAACTCCACCCCGCCACAGCCCCTCCTGCGTCCGCGAGCAGGGAAGGCCCGGCCAGGGCCCGGCACTCGGGATTCTGCTCCGCCGGCAATGAGGCGCCACCGAAGGCTCAACCAAGTCTCAAAGTGTTTTCGTTGTTTAAAAGACGTGCGAATTGGCTGCCCGTCACCTTGCCCTCCCCATAAGAATGCTGCCAAAATTTGAAATAATAGTGCTGCTCTCTCGAATGCTAAATAATAATTAGGGGCTGGTGGTTTATCCTGCACAAGTGTCAAAACGAGAATGTTTTTCCTGAAGCGCCAGAAGGTTCTCCCACAACCCACAGCATCACCCTAAGTATGACGTGTGCTGTGCACACGTAGGACAGACACACATGGACGGGGGGGCGGTTCGGCACCCAGGACACAGGTTTGGAGTCTGGCTGGAGACTTACGTCCCCCTCTGAGCAGGTGGGGACCCACCGCGCCGGGCCGCAGCGTGGAGGCGCCCAGGTGATGTCGAGTGTGCAAACCCGCGGACGCTGGCCGCCGCGACAGAGCTTAGAAGTGGCCTCCCCGGAGGAGGGCGGGACGCGGGCGGCAACTTTGGCTTCCAGGTTTCCCTCCCCTGCTCCACGTCCTCCTGCGAGCCGGTGGCCCGGACCACGTGGGAGGTGACCCGCCTCGGGGCTGCCTGTGGCCTTCTCTCTCACCCCCACCCGAACGCAAACACATGTTTCTTCTCTGTCCTCTGACATCGAGGGCACCGACCAGGGCCCTCCTTGACCCTGCACGCCAGCGACGAAGGGGGCCCCGGTCCTCCTGTCTTTGCAGGGTAGCCTGGGGGGCTGCTCCTGGGGGCTTCTGAGCTATGTCATTGTTGAGACCAGAGCTCATAGCTCTGGGGCGACCCTCAACCCCCCGATGCCGAGAGCCCTCTGAGGTTACGAGGCTACCGGTGCAGGGTCCCGAGAGCGCAGCACACTGCTGACCGCCGCAGGACGGCCGCTGCTGGTGACGTGGAAACCCCAGCACAGGAGGACAGAGGCCCAGCCTCCCCTCCAGGAGGGAGGCGGCAGAGCCGGCCGGCGCAGAGCCTCCAGCCTGGGGCGGCCACAGGAACACGCTCTGGGGCTTTCTCTTCCCCGGCCCTCGTCCCTGACGGTAGCTCACCCAGACGGCACAGCCCAGACCCCACTGCAGGTGGTGCCAAGAGCTTCTGGGGCTGCCTGGGAGGCCCAGCTGGGGACTGTCCCCGGCTGGCTCAGGCTCTGTCCCA